TCATCGGTTCACTAAATTAATTTTGCTGTAATGGCGTGCCTCGAAAAATTGGTGCTGTCACGGAAACAGGGCTGTTGTTTTTCCACAGTTCCCGTTGAGAAGTTTGAACATCGAGAACACGTTTATGCGAAAGATTCGCAATAGATGCATCCGCTGGACGATATGGCTGAGCAGATCCTAAAATGGACATCCCTGAATACATTGAACCGCGCATGCTGTTATTCGCATACAGATTGCCTGCCATCATGAAGTTGTTTGGCTGTTGCATGTGGCTTGCAGGCGAGCCATACGGTGCATTCATCATATTGATTGATGTTGAAGGGGGTGAACATATTCCGGGGTTCGACGACCGTAACCGCTGGATCGATGCTTGCATGGAAATATAGTCGAAAGCCTCGTTATGATCATATCATCCGAGGATACCGAGCATTGAGATGATGACATAGAAAGAGGACGACTAAAATCCAAATTAAGTCCATTATTCGAATAACCACCTCCATTCAGCGGATAAACCATCGTTAATTGTCGAAGAGAGGATGACATCATGTTGGCTCGCTCGAAGTCCATCATTGCATTATTGTCGGTCTATAACAAAACGACAAAGCGTAACTGTGAGTGTCCATTTAAATTTTGTCAACCTCTGTAAAACAAGTTGACTCACGCGTGAAACACTTGCAGGATTTCTGTAAACACCTTTGGAAAAGAATTATGAAAATTAACTCCTTGCTGTGAGAACTGCGGTTGTGGTGACATCCGAGTCTGCATACTGTTTAAAGATCGCTGCATGGGTACAGGTACTAACATTTTGCACTGGAGATGACGTCACGGACGCCACGCGAATACTCTTGCCTTCGCGCAACGGACCTTTCTTCCGAATTGACTGTCTCTGCATACGGCGCATGGTAGAGTAATACCTTTACTTGATTGCATTCAAAGCAGTGGTGACCAATGGATGTAAGACACTCTCATTGTTTACGCGAAGTAACAGCATATATATAAGCGTCTGAGGGCTTCAATCGTTGTGACGGTTTATTCTATTGACGTGCTTGAGTCTATCCAAGTCCCAGCATTTTGTTGCACTTGCAAACGGGCGGTCTAGGCTTACTGAGCTTGCTTGTCCATTTTGAACGGGCTGGATGTGTTGTTGAAGCTCTACACCACATTCTGTACACAATGATCTGTAACTCGTGATGATATGAGGCAAAGCAAAGCAGACGCATTAAACTAAAACATTTCGCCAACACAAATCGGTTTTGCGAGATATTCCGACAAAAGCGCCGCCAGCTAGTATCACAGCATGATATATAGAAAAAGATAGCAAAAGGTTAAGATTTACTTTTCAAGGAGACACTCTTTGTTTTGAACGAATGTACGTAAAAGTTAATTGAGAGGCTATTAGTACAGCACAAAAGGGTTAGTCCGCTTACCATTTCGAAAGCGTTGCAACCTTGCGACGCATCTGAAAATAACAAAAGTTGGTGCAGTTAAAGTGTTAAGTTTACGTCTGTAGTAACTCTCTCTGTCGGCATGTCAATCGTTAGTGATGTTGCTGCGCTCGGATACGAAATACACGCTTCAAGAAAAAGCTGTGAGAATGTCAATGCCATCACCAGGCGCTAGACCGTCAAATTTGGTGAATAAAAAGAGTGTGTTCGACTGTCTGGTTGTGTTCAACATTGAGTGTTGGATAGAGCAAAGAAATACTTTTTCTTTCGTGCTATGATCTCAACAGTGATGACTATAGTTTGTGAGCATCACAAACAATACATTTTATCAAAAAATAAAAAGATCTCTTTCGAGGACTTGGGTACTCTGCATTGGTATCATTATTCATTTTCAAGTTTAAGTTTCAAAGAGTCATCTTTGTAATGTGGATGAAGACTAGATGCACTGTTTTTTTAGGCAGCTCAACTCATTACTCTTTTTAATGAAGGTCAAGAGCAGGTTTGCGAAGCTGTTTTAAAGTAAGAGATGAAGCTATTGTAGCTAGGTATACATTCACCGTGGGTGGTGATTCAGTCGTGGCGAGCCATGCAGTGTTCTCTGTATGCACGCAAACTGGCAGAGTTCGTGATCTAGATTTGAATGGCTGCAAAAGAGTAAAACTGAAAAATTTATTGACAAATTGAACAAAAGAAGCTGCTTGATCATGATTCTGATGGATGCTCCGGGATATCATCTGGGGCACTCTCGGCAACCTTGCAACTACTTGCACAGCACATTGCGCGGAAATTTTTATCTTCCTTCGCGCACGCGTTACTCGGATCGGATTCGCATTTGGTAACGCAATTGAAATCAGCATCAAGACCAGGGGCGAGACAAGCAAGGCAGATCATTGCCATGAACGTTTTGAAGAGAAGACTTGGGGGCATGGTCGAGAAGTTCTTGTCCAAATGAAAAGTGTGAACAATCAGGTATCATCGGACATGATTCATAATTATTTGCAAAGATAGAGCATTAAAGAAGCTTCCAGAATTCGAACATGATGCCGTGACCCTCTCCCGGCACAAATGCTTGATTTGAATTGTTTTCCCAAGATGAACGTGATTTGTCGCAAACATGCATTTAAAATCGACCACTTGTGTCATTCTTATGTAGTACGATCAAGAACTTGGCGCTTAAATAAGTTAAAAGCAAAGCCTGTCGACTCTATTTTCTTCAAGTTATAGACTACATTCCTACAATTGAAATGCAACAGCTGCGTAAGCATGGGATCAGGATTTGTGATTCACCTAATAGCACCATCTGGTACATTGATCACGGCAGGCGAAACATGCTCTCACAAAATTCTTGCGTGTTTGAAATAATTGAATATAGCTGGGATGTGTGCTTCAAAAGCTGTTGTAGTATCATATCATTTTATTTGCTGTCAATCTTGTTTGGCCATATTTCCTCCTACCTTTTGTCGAGATGGACACAGACAATAATGCAGCTATGACAAACCAAACAAGGATTTTCTATGCTTTTTTATACTCATATGATGTTGTTGATGACGCTCCTGCAACCCATTTTCAACAAAACGATATGTCGTGCTTCAATAAACCAGTCGTAAGTACACATTAAGCAATGTTGAGAGCAATCCGTACATCTGGGTTCGGAACTTGAACAACATCACACCACTTTTCGACATTACGGGGTCCTTACTTAACTGTCGTATACAATTCTATGAAATTTATATTACATTATGGCGTAATTGAGAAAACTCATAAACTAAAACATCGGTATATATGAAGCAATGCAATAAAGATATAACCAGACTTAATTACGTCAAAGGCTATCGGCTCCTTTCCTACTTGTAATGTACGCATTCTAGTTCTGTGCATTTATTTACGAGACTTTGAAGTTGAAATTCGTTCTTTTGCATCGTGCATGGCGACCGCGTTGCACTTAGCTTGCAGTCTATCCCAGAAACGAGTCTTGCAACAAAGGATAGAAAGGATTTTGGGATTCGTTGTGATAGTTGTCCCGCTCATCACACTCAGCGTTCTACAAATGTTCTCAGTTACGGGCTCACCCATGCGGAATAATGCGTTCGACTCATCCTCGTAAATTGTACGTAGCATTTAAGCGCTCACCTTCATGTAAATCTCTGAAGTCATATCATATCTGCTCGATTCACTTAAAGATCTGTTTAAGCAATCTCAGGCCCTGCTTGGAATCTCACATCGCTTTGTGTTTGCGCCATCAACATCACGGCTTATTGGTGGAGATCTACCACACGTCTAGAAGTGCTTGGAGCTCAACTTCTACGGGCTCCACTCGATTACTTCATATTTGCTCAAAAGCCACGTTGTGACGGGTCACACGGCACCTTGCACAGAGGAAGCTTGACTTCCAAGAGTATA